CCGGGGGTAGGATTTTCTACATTGGTGTGTATCGTCTCACCGTCATCAGGGTTTTCTTCTTGTCTATTATCTTCATCAATTTCAACAATCAGCGATTCTGTATCTGGTTCGTTATTAAGATCTTGTTGAGCTTGTTCATTAAGTGTTTCCATATATTCAAAAATATTTTTTGTGTTTTCCAAATTTTTTGTTTCATTGACGTTTAGTTCTATTCTGGATAATGTATCACAATTTGTATTTAAAGATCCTTTTTTATAAATTATTTCATAATCATATTCTTCTAGCTTCAACCGCCATCTTACTAGTTTGGAGTTGGGATCTTTCAATGAAAATAACCACTGTAGTGGTTTATGATCAGTAATAATAGTAAAACGTCGTCCAAATAAATACGGGCGAAAATATTTGACAGCCCATACTATTGCCAGTAATTCTTTCTCAATTGTTGAGTAATTGATTTCTGAGTTGTTCAAAGTTCTGCTTGCATAAGCAATTGGCAAGTCGGATCCAATCTTTCCTTGACTAAGTACGGCTCCTAGCGCAAAATTACTAGCATCTGTAGTGAGATTGAAAGGACGGGAGAAGTCGGGATACTGTAATATGGGTTCATTTATGAGAAGTTGTTTACAAGTTTCAAAACATTGGATATAATCTGAATCGCTTACATTGATTTCAGCATTTTTCTTTAGGCGAGTAGTTAGTGGTTTAGTAAGTTTAGAAAAATCTTTGATAAATTTCCTGTAATAACCTAAAAGTCCTAAAAATCCTTTTAATTGCTTAGTATTTTTGGGTATTGGAAAATTTTTAATAGCTTTAATTTTGTCTGGGTTCGGCTTAACCCCTTCTGGCGTTACGATGTGACCTAAATATGCTACTTCTTTCTTTAAAAACTCAGATTTATCTATTTGAATTTTGAAATTTGATTCTCTTAATCTTTGAAACACTTCTTTTAAATTAACAAGATGCTCCTGAAGACTTGTACTAAATATAATTATATCGTCAAGATAAACCAAACATTTTTCATTTTGTATACCTCTCAGGATATTATCCATAACCCGTTGGAATGTTGCTGGGGCGTTACGGAGTCCGAAAGGCATTCGCAAAAATTCGTAGTGACCATTTTCTGTATTAAATGCAGTTTTTTGAATGTCGCTTTCATCCATCTCGATTTGATGGAACCCTGAAGCGAGGTCGAGTGTCGTAAAGTATTGACACCGTCCAAGTTTATCCAGTAGGTCACTAATGTTAGGTAAAGGGTATCTATCACCAAGTGTGATAGCATTAAGACGTCGATAATCTATTACGACTCTAAACTTGGGTTTTTTGGAGGCGTCCATTTTTTTTGGGACCACCCATATAGGAGAAGACCAAGGGGAATCCGAAGGTCTAATAATATCTTGATCCAGCAGATTCTGGATTTGATTTTGCACTTCCTTCCTATAAATTTCCGGGTATCTATAGGATTTTGAATATACTGGTATATCGTTTGTTGTTTTTATTGTATGTTTAATTTTATTAGTAAAAGTTAATTGGTTTCCTTCGACATGGAAGATATCGGAATATTCTTTTATTAACTTTAATATTGAATTTCTTTCCTCAAAATTCATATGATCTGTTCGAACTTTCGAAATATCGAATTTAAATTCTTCAGCATATATGGAATTAAAATTTGGATTTGAAATTTGTTCGTATTCAGCGAACTTTTCCACCATGATTGGGGAAGTTACATCCAATTTAAAATAAGATTCAGAAGAATTCAAAATGGTGCAAATAGCCTTATTGTTTTCTACCGTCGTAAGGCACTCCGGAATTTCTAATTTACCGATTTGTGTATATGGTATAATTACATCGCCATTTTTTATATTTTTAACATTTAAACTGATAACTTGCTCGGTTCGTGGCGGCACTACTATACAATTCGTGTTGCCACTATTCCCGGCTTTATAATAATTTAATTTTATCTTACTATGCGAGGTAATTAAAACGTTATTGGCCAAATCAATTTTTGCATTTAATTTTTTTAAATTATCGAGGCCTAATAAGCAGTGAAAATAGTCATGGAATTTAAAAACGCAATAACTTAAATTTAATTTATTTTTAGTATTAAAAATTTTTGATAAGGGAATTTCAGTACAGTAATTTTCCTGTTTTGCTCCAAGTGCTGTTGAAATTTGAAAGGGTTTACGAAAAATTGAATTTTTAAAATATTTTTCAGCGACTTCTGGGGTTACAAACGATTTTGTGCTCCCAGTGTCTATTAGTACTTTAAGATTATGCTCAGGAAATACAATGTACGGCAATTCACTTTCGTTATTTATTAGATTTAAAAGTTCAACTTGAGTAATTATGGATTTTCCGAGGCTTTGTTCTCTAAAAAATTATTCTCACTAGTTAATTCAACTTCCTCGGTATCGCCAATATTATGTAGTTCTTCAGCTATGATATTTTGTGGTTGACTTGAAAATGTATTATTGAAGCGTCTTTGATTTCCAAAATTTGTTGGTCTAAAAGTATTTTGACTAGTGGTACTCATTGGAGTTGGGGCTTGAAATCTTTGATTTGGATTTGATTTAAAGACGTTACTACTTCTGTTATTTGTAAAAGTATTAGTTCCTCTGTTATTATTTGAAAAAGAGGTTGATGCTGATGGTTGTCTTGTTGTTTGTTGAAATTGTGTGGAGTTTGTTATAGGTGGGGCTGGAGTTCTTTGTCGAGATTCGTTGAATCTAAAGGATCTGTTCGATTGAGGAAATTGTTGTTGAAAGTTAAGATTTGGTCTTGGATTACGATTATTTAGAAAATTTGGCTTTGTTTGCCTAGATTGTGAAGAATTATTTTCGTTTAAATAAATTTGAAAATCGTTAGTTAAAATACTTAGGGCAGAATTTAAATCTTTAGGGTTTTTAGTTCGCATGAAGGTGCCAAGTGGTTCTTTTAGACCACGTAATAATACTCGTAGGGCTAAATTTCTAAAATAGTTTGATAAAATTAATAATTCTTGGTCATTAGAACGTGTAGTAATTAAAGATATTTGTAAATTCAAAAGATGTTGGACTTTATTGAAGAATTCAAAGGGAGTTTCATTATTTTGCTTTAATTCTGACATTTCTATACTAAGGGTATAAATATCTCTTTTATCAGCGTATGTATTTAGCAAGGCATCTTTAAGATCTTGCCAGGTCCTAACTACACATGCTGAAATGTTAATAGCAGCTTCACCTTTTACTTTTGCTAATATGCTAGACATTAAGTACTCATTCTGAAAATCATCTGAATCAACTGTATTATAAAATTTATTAATCAATTTTTCACAGATTTCCACGAATCTAGGAAGTAATGTATTTTCTCCGTGGAAATCTGGAATCATATCAAGATATTCCTTTTTTAATTGTGGGATTGCCATTTTTATTTTATTTTTTGAGTAAGAATTTAAATTAAAAGTACGATTATTTATTAAGGATGAATTAGAACAAAGATTATATTTAATAGGGAGTTTTGAGTCAGAATCTGAGTCTGATGAATCAGAATTTATTAGAATTTTAGGCTCTCTATACGACATAAGCACTTACCAGAGAATAATTGTCCACTCCATGTAAGCTGGTTCACTCAGAAGGTTGACTAGGCAGGTATCTTCGATATTCACTCGAAAAGTCCACTTAACACGATTCCTGTTATAAAGGGCTACTCAATCCACCCACAGGAATATAACACTTCCGATTAAGGTCAATAAATCGTTGAAACGAACCGAATTTATATTCGCTAAACCCGTTTGACCTAGCTACTGACTGCGCCACTCAAATTTGGGAATGCCAAAAGTCCTTTTTTAAAAAAGAATTTATTAAGAGCTAAACGACTAATTACAATAAAATCAGATTCTAAACTGAATAAAATATTAATTAAAATAACACATATACAATTGCAATTATACAATTCACAATATTATGCAAATATAGCGTCAGCACTCTAGAGTTCAATGCTTTAACCATGTCAGCAGTCTTAAGTCCATGGCACGAATGAATCCATAGGCGTCGCTCTATAACTTATATGTATCCTTAATTACGCCTTTAAAATGCGAAAGTGGGAAAATGAAGGAATAAAAATAGACAGGGAATTGCTCAATCATCTGCGTTTTGCCGACGATATTACCGAAGATCTGCGTGAAGCCAACAAATGCTAGAAGAATTAGAAAACGCGTCTTCAACAATAGGTCTAAAAATGAACATCTGTAAAACCAAATTTATGACAAATTTAATTCCCAGCGAACACCTAACTATTAAAAATTAAGAGGTAGAATTGACAGAAAAGTACATATATCTCGGTCATGGAATCAAAATAAGCATGGATAATGAGACCTATGAATTTCAACGACGAATAACACTTGCTTGGGCGGCGTATGGTTTACTAAGAGATATCTTTAAGAGCAACATCCCGATAGCTATGAAACGGAAGACCTGTGACCAATGCCGTTCTTGTCAAAATAAGGAACCAAGACCTTAGGAAAAGAACAGGTATCACTGATGTCGTCGAACGTCTAGCCAAGCTGAAATGGAATTGGTCAGGTCACATAGCGAGACTAAAAGACTCAAGATGGATCAGAAAACTAATTGACTGGTGCCCAAATGAAGACAAATGCAGCATAGGACGACTACCAATACGCTAGATAGACGACATTAAACGAATATCCAAGAAATGGCAACAAGACGCACAGAACCGTGAAATGTGACGAAAATAGGAGAGACATATGTCCAGCAGTGGACAGAAGAACTACATGATGATGATGTACTTAATAAGAGGAAAATAGGAGAAAATATTGGGACTCAACATTTCTGTTTTCCAATGTCATAAAAAAAGTGCATTTTTTTATGATATTGGAAAACACTTAGGTAGGTCAAGGGGTTACTACAGTAAGTCGTATGAATTTGATATGGATTGCAATAATCTGTATGATGGTAAAACACTGGATTTACTAATAAAAAAGTTTATTACCGCAATTTATTTTTCAGATCGAGCGGTTAATCTTGGTACCCTCCCTCCTGAGAAACCTTCTAACGTTTTTACAAATGAGAGTAAGTAATAGTATAACTAATTTTACCAAAAAATAACGTACAAATTTTATGTAAAATAATTTGAGGTATTTTAACCGCTATGATTGTCAAGATGACGTACCGGAAAAATCGTTGACAACCCTTGTCATATTCAAAGGCTACTACCCAAATTCCACTAATTTCCTAAGAGAATTCGGTAGTACCAATATAGAATTGAATCGCTCTATATGTCAGACAATTTATCGAGTAGTTTAAAATACTTTAGTTCTACACTAGACTAATTTATCAAATATACCCACATTTAAGTACCTAGACAATAAAACAAAGTTACAAAACCAATAACTTAACATGGTGAGTGGAAGTCTATCAGAATAAAGATAATGTCCAACACTCAAGCGTACAAACGGCGTACCACATCCAGTTACTTCCAATAAGATCATGGAGATATGGGAGAAATTGAGGAAACAATCTATTTTCTATATTAAGGTTACTGACTTTTGCATATTATGGGAAAGTGGAGTAATCTTATTAATAAAAAATAATACTTTATTATTTTATTTAGATGGTTAAATTTTTCAAACGTAACAAACGTCCATGGTAGCACTCCTCTATCGTCATCAAATCTTGATACATTCATTGCTTCTGCTCATAGATTACATCCTCAAAGTTTACAAAAAAACATATTAAGGTTGACTGTTAAGAAAATGCATACTAATACTCATTTTATCCCTGCGATATCAAATGTCATTATTATCAGCTTTTTTGTTACGTTTTTGTAACAGGAAATTTTGTATAGCATTTTTAAAATCATCTTTAATTACAAATTATTTGTAAAGTATAAGGACTCGAATTTACAGTCCGTCGAAATCCCCTACTTTGATCTTCCCATACAACAAATCTGAAAACTATGTTAAAAATATTATTCGCTATCGCTGATCAATACCGTAAAGAATTGCTTCATACATCCAAGTTTCAGGTGAAGTCGTGAAAAAAACAAGCTTCTCCCAACTGACAATGATTTGTTCATTTACGACGTTTATAGCTAAAAATAATTAAGGTTCATTTATTATAGGGTGCGTGATATTGTAAAAATTCAATTACTGTTTTTATGTTATTATATTCTTCTCGAAATTCTTCTAGATAGTGCAATATACCATCTAAATGTCGCAAAAAAGACGTTTAAAACATCGTGACCGCAAAAAAAACTACTTATTTCCTGGAAATAAAGGTAAAAAGTCACTATTGCTTTTCCAGAAAGACCAAATTTTCGTAGAGCAGTAAATTAGATTTCTTCTTGTAACCTGGCGGCTAATAGCTTACTAAGAGTTATAATAGCATCTAATTTAGCTGCATTTAACTACTGAGGAGCTGACGATGTTTTAACACATGATGAGTAGTCTATACTTGTTAAACATAAATCATTGTCGTCACTGTCACCAGATAAACTGAAACATTGAAATATTGGAACTAGTATCTCTTCTTAGTGAGGAATCGGTCAAATAGAATATTCAGATTACTTTGTCTTTTTTCTTTCATAATATGTTCTTTGTGTTGACCATGCAAAAATACGTGGCATTAACGTGATCGGTAGATTGTCGCCATAACGTAGAGACTCTAAATGGCAAACACTTCCGTTTTCCTTGAGTCCATCATCACGAAACATTTTCTCACAATTGTGGCATAAAACATGTTATACGTTATCTTGATTTCACAGTAAAATATGTTGTTCGTCAACGCTTTTTTCTCGCATAATTAGCAATTTAAAGCAATTAGGAAAACCCAAAAAAAAAAACATCAGAGACTCCCAAATCTAATAAACTCATACCTCAAAAAAAAATAAGTATTGATTAAACTTATCTTTGTATTTTTTTGTATTTGTAGAAAGAAGATTTATTCCTCAGAAATCTAAAAACATGGGTCTGTTCGGGAGAAACCCTTGTAGTTTCTTTGGTAGAAGAGTTTTTCAAGTACTTTCCTCAAAACGAGTACCAGCTTTGCAACTTTTACGGCAGTACCGAAATAATGGGCGACGTCACTTATCACAGTATCACAAACCCTGAACAACTGAAGCATATGAACAAAGTTCCAATAGGTAAATAGCTGTAAATAGTGTCTATTTTTTTAAAATTGTCAAAAATGGTTCTTTCCGAGTTTATTTCCCATACTAAAATCAAAATTAGGGCCTTAATATTCCAAGAAAGAAAACGTTTTAACATACTTAATCGTCACACAAAATTTCATAAGTGTGCTACACAACGCGCACACTTTGTACGTCATACACCCAGTGGCTACGTGGCAAAAGCTTTCGAGGGCGTAAGAATAGGATTTGTTGGCAAAAGCTGAGTTCTATTTCTAGAACCCCGACTCTTTTATCGCAACAGTAGGCATTATTCGGGGTTTTATTACAGTATGAGCATTGGCAACCCATGCTGCCTTCAACATCCTTTACCAACCTTAAACCACCAACACGATCTAATGATAAAAAAAGAATGCTAGAAACAGCATAGATTAAAATCCTTAGATAAATATATGGTAAGACACCATGCGACAGAGCAAGAAGTACAGATATATGACTGAGATAGAAAGTGGACTTCTTGAAAAGTGCGACGGAGATAGTCAAGGACTGGGTACGAGTCATGTCTACACAAAAAGAAGAAAGTTTAGACTACATTTCTTACAAAGCAGCGGCAAAAATTATACAGTTGTTGGTAGTGGTAACACTTTTATCTGACAACTGAAGCTGATTTAGTTAGCTGTCAATGTATGGAAAAACAAAATTGACGAACCTATTTGAAATAGCAAATTATGTATTGTTCTGAAGCTATTTTCTTGTGGCATTTTAAATTAATTACCATTTAACTGGGAATAAGCCACAATTAAAGATAAAAAAATACGTTTATTAACGTTTCAATTTTCACTTCGAAAATCGTTTTCAAAATACAACAGTAAATTAAACAAATATTGTTTTTTTTTACATAGTGAAAAATTCTTCTAATAATTTACCTTTATTTGACTCATTTATATTGACAATTCAGACATACATTATGCATTTTAAAGTAGATGACGTTAAAATGATATTGCCAATATTGTTGAGTTACGCTCCTGGGACGACTTTACTTATAAGATAGTTCATTCGATTACATGAAATCAACTTTAACTTGAGAATGTCCGTCAGAAAAAGTCATAGCATGTAATTTGTCTTTAAAAAGACAAACACATGACATGATGACAGTAGAATTCTCCTTTAGAGTGATTCCATGGTAAACTATAAGGGAAAAACCAGGAAAAAAACTCATAATACTATCCCGACATGGTAATTATTTGTTGGTGCATTTAGTTTACCTTCAATAAACACCAAAATTCTGATTTTATATGTTTCGTTATTTAAAAAACATAAATGATGTATCCTCTATATGTTACTGACTTACTAATACTGGTATTTTCTTATTAATAACTTCCTCTTTCAATATTGGTTACCAGATCCTACTACATTCTGCCGAGAAATTTGCGACACAATTGCCCTCATTTAGCATAATTAGAGCCGCTTCTTTAATTTTTCTTTTTTTACCATCCGTTTCTTTTAGGACTACATTTGAATTATTCCATTGAACCCTATGTTCATTATCCCATGCGTATATTTTAGATCTATCAATCTATTAAAAATAAAGAATTTGATAGATCTTAAATATGTAAACACGCATGGGATAATGAACATAGGGTTCAATGGAATAATCCAAATGTAGTCCCAAAAGAAACGGATGGTACAAAAAAAAAATCAAAGAAGCGGCTCTAATTATGCTAAATGAGGCCAATTGTGTCGCAAATTCCTCGGCAGAATGTAGTAGGATCTGGTTACCAATATTGAAAGAGGAAGCTATTAATAAGAAAATACCAGTATTAGTAAGTCAGTAACATATAGAGGATACATCATTTATGTTTTTTAAATAACGTAACATATGAAATCAGAATTTTGATGTTTGTTGAAAGTAAACTAAATTCACGAACAAATATTACAATGTCGGGATAGTATTATGAGGTTTTTTTCCTGGTTTTCCCTCATAATTTACTATGAAATCACTAACAGGAGAATTTTACTGTCATGATGTCATGTGTTTGTCTTTTTAAAGACGAATTACATGCTATGATTTTTTTCTGACGGATATTCTCAAGTTAAAGTTGATTTCATGTAATCGAATGAACTATCTTATAAGTAAAGTCGTCCCAGGAGCGCAACTCAACAATATTGGCAATATTATTTTAAAGTCGTCTACTTTAAAATGCATAATGTATGTCTGAATTGTCAATATAAACGAGTCAGATAAAATTATATTATTAGAAGAATTTTTCACTATGTAACAAAAAACAAAATTTGTTTAATTTACTGTTTGTATTTTGAGAACGAGTTCCGAAGTGGAAATTGAAACGTCAATAAACGTATTTTTTTATCTTTAATTGTAGCTTATTCCCAGTTAAATAGTAATTAATAGCAAATTATGTATTCTTCAGTCATATTTATACCTAATTGGTAACGTTGTTGAATCACCCTGTTTAACAAGGCTACATGCTGCCAGACATTATCCGATATAGATCTATAGTTTCTATATTTTTCTGGGAACTGTCCCTACAAATTTTGATCAAAATATTTTTTCATTACATAGCTTTGGGATTTTTTGAAAATGTAGGTAGAGATTGCTTAATACCTTATTTATTTACTTATTTTCAATAGTTATTTAAGCCCCAAAAAAATGTCTTAAGGTTGTTAGTTTTGTCACGCTTGTATGATATATTGCTGTATTTTTCACAACTAAATACACAACATATGTTTACTAGGTGCACCTCTGGATAACACGATCCTTTACCTTCTGGACAAAGATTTCCGGCCGGTAAAAGCGGGTGATATCGGCGAACTGTTCGTTTCCGGTTTGAATCTGGCCAGTGGTTATGTCAGCGGAAGAGATCCGGAAAAATTCCTCGACAATCCATTAGCAATCGATCCCACCTACGGGAAACTCTACCGTACGGGCGACTTTGCACGTCTGGAGAAGGGGATACTTTACTATGAAGGCCGCACCGATTCTCAGGTTAAAATCAGGGGACACAGGGTAGATACAGCAGAGGTGGAGAAAGCAGTCAATTCTTTGGAAGGAGTAAGTATTGTATACTCAATTAAATATCTATGGATCAATTAATATAAAAAAATAGATATCTATAACAGTACCTACTGAAGTAATAATGGAAGCTGGTTTGTCAGAAAATATGATCGGATACTGAACTAAATTTCATTAAAAAGAATAAAAAAAGAAAGGCAACTTAAAAAACACTATTTTATGTTTGATACTATAATCCTTTTAAAAATTATTCATGGCATAGGTTATATAAACCAGGTAACTAAATATTTCCCCCGTTGATACATGTATCTTACAACTGCTTTTGATACATTTGGCGATAACAATATGCAATAAACAATAGTATATTAAAGTATAAGTGGATATTGAGGTCTTTAAACTACGTGCGATTTTTCGAGCACGACGGAGCAGCCGGAATGCTCGAAATAAAGCAAGTGTTTTAAAGACCAATTATCCGCGAATACTTTACTCAATTTTTTTTATTAGAAAACTTTGAAATCATTATTTGTAAAATTGTGTTATTACTACGAAAAATTGAAATAAAAGCTAATAATGTAAAATGGTTGAATTTGTGATGTACATCAATATACGTTTCGTTGTTATGGAAATAAGAATAACCAAAATTAATTTGCAATATGACACATAAGATGAATTGTTATTACTGATTTTATATTGATTAAGAATGAGTTGTAATATTAATTACTTAAAAATTAATGCAGAATCCTAGATAATACCGCAAAAATCGTAAAACGCTTCTAAAAAAGAATATGAAAAGTTCATTAAATGGATGGAAATACAAAAAGTAACAGATACAGATGAAAAAGTTGGTTGTGCTTGCTTACCTTGAAAAAATGTCTGAATAGTACAAGCCGTAGACTATGTGAGTTATCCATTTAAAATTGCAAAGTATGTTGAGGATAAACAAAGGGGTCGATTTAAAATGCTTTGTGAAATTGCATGCATTCATGAAGGCAATTAGCAAGAATGACGTGGCCAGAAAGGCATATAAATTTAAGGAAGATGATTTGCGGAAGTTTTTCACAGATGTTCCAGACATCACGTATTTATTTTTGAAGGTAGTCATTTGCGGTATCTTTGGCTCTTGCAGAAGATGTGAATTGTACGATTACGCTTACATGCCATTAAGGAAGAGGAAAGCGTATTGCTTATTACTACCGGACCATCTAAGTATTAAATTAAATTAAGTAAATAATTAAATACCGTAGAATAGTCATACCATTTATTTGTAAAAATAGTATTTGATTTATTTTATAAATTGATTATGTGTTCTGTCCTGTGTTGGGTTTGAAAACAATAAAAGTATCTATGTTTAGAAAAAGTGCGAAATAGAAGACAGTTTGAACAAATTTTAACACTCGATAAACCGCACTCAGATAATGATTATAGAATAAATGCTTATAGTGCAAATACTGAAGGAGTGATACTACCAGATATTATCAAGTTTTTTATTTATTTATTATACGGTGAACCAACGAAATATATACATATTGCTATCTTAAATAGTTTCTTAAATATCAATTTTTTTTATGTTTAGAAAAATTTCTAATCAATAAAAATAATAATTTAAGAGTGATAAGTGTGAATTTTCTTTGCTTTATACAGGTTTTGGCCCTTATTGTTATTAAAACCGGTATAATAATGAAAAATGTTAACTAAATTATTTATTTCCAGGCCCATCATGCAAAAGCCCAAATTGCAATAGGCAGAATACAATAACCGAGACAAATTCATTTATTATAGACATTGATAAGAATATTTTAGATGGTATGCAATTAGGCCTACCGATTACTGATGTTAAGTTTAATGAGATACAACCAAACGAAACGAATGTTAATGAAGCCGTTCAAGTATTTACCATTGATGAGAGCACTGAAGTATTGGCAAGCCGTGTTCAATTAATCTCTCATGAGAACATTACTAAAATTCAAGTTCTATGATATTCAGCTACAATTCCGGATGCTAATAATGCTCAAGACGATAGTGATCCTGAAGATTTACTACCATTATCCAAACGTGTTAACTTGGCCGCTGGTCAAAAACGTCTAACCGATACTTTAAAAGTTACACCTGCCAGTGAATTAAGGGCATCAGATATCCAAGAAAATCCTAAGACCAAACTCAAAAGAAAAAATAAAGTTGAATCTGAATCAAAAAATTGGATAGCTAACAAGAACAAAAATCTAAGAATGAAAGGGCAAGAATATTTAGGGTATAGAAGACCTAAAAATGACAACAAAGTTTTTTATGATACGATAAGAACTGCAAGAAAAATGTCAGGTATTTGTAATTCACAAATTTGCAAGAAATCTAATAAAAGGTTCTGTCATGAAGTAAAAGAAGAAGAGATTGGCATTATATAATGGGTTTTGGAATGATATGAATTGGGAACAAAGAAAAATTTATGTCTCGTCTCTGGTTGACTGTGATAGTGCTACAAGAAAAAGAACACAAGAACATACTTCAAGAAGAAATGCAACTTTGGTATATCATTTAAAAATTGGAAGTACAAGAAGTCAAGTCTGCAATAAAACTTTTTTAAACACTTTTAGTTTAGGAGAATGGACAGTTAGAAATTGGGTGACTGAAACAAAGGACAATGCAGGAATTCACAAGAGTAGAGAAAATAAAATTGCTGAAAGAAGTGAGATCTTAAGAAAAAGTAAAAAGAAGGAACAAAAAGAAAATCTGATAACCTATTTAGATTCTATTCCAAAACTACCGTCTCACTATTGCCGGAAACAAACAGATAAACAATATTTGGAATCAATGTTTACCACTATGACACAATTTTTTAATCACTATGTTAAATACTGTGAAGAAAAGCAAATATCACATTTAAGTAGGCAAGTATTTGATTCAGTTGTATGAGGGGCAAATATCTCCATATTTCACCCCAAAAAAGATGCATGTGACATGTGCATAAAATACAATATTGGAAATTTGAATCAAAATGACTATAAAATGCACATTGATCGAAAAGAATTAGCTCGACAGAAGAAAAGTGAAGACAAAAAAGAGCTGAAGATGGCCAATGCATTGTCGTGACTGCAGATGTACAGGCTGTCAAATTGTCACCATTCTTTAATGCCAGCGCCGTATACTACAAAACGAAGCTATGCGTCCACAATTACACTATATTTGATTTAGCAACAGATGATGCTACTTGTTATTGGTGGAATGAATCTCAAGGTGAGCTTGCAGCTTCAGTTTTCGCTAGTTGCCTTATTGACTACTTGAATAAATATAAAAAATGGGAAAACCTATTGTAATTTGGACGGATGGCTGCACCTACCAAAACAGAAATTCTGTGTTGTCAAGTGCTTTACTCATGTTCTCGATAAATAACAACATTATAATTGAGCAGAAGTATTTAGAACGCGGAAACACTCAGAAAGAGTGTGATTCTATACATGCCACAATTGAAAACAAATTGAAAAACAGAATTATCCATCTTCCTTCAGATTATGTTAGCGTAACGAAAGAAGCTCGACAAAATCCCCGACCATATGATGTGAAATACCTGTCATTATGCCAGCAACAAACTTTGTTCATCAATTAAGCCAGGACTACTCACAGTCAAAGAAATCAGGTGTCTCAAATATTTGCCAGAAGGTAAAATTATGTACAAATGTGTTTTTTCTAATGAATACAAAGAACTGCCACAACGGATAAAAATTCCAGAAAACCTAACTCCGGATTTAATGCCGAAATTATACAAAAATCCACTTAAAATAAAACAGACCAAATGGCAACACTTAAAGGCAATTAAAGGAAATTTGGCCAAAAGAATGTCATCATTTTTATGATAGTATTCCACATCAATAAATTTTTGTTTTTGGTAATTTGTTAGTTTAGTTTAATTTCAATATCATTAAACGTTTATTTCTGTAATTGTTTGTTTTTGTTGATAATACCTCGTATCGTAATATTATGTACATAGCGTAAAAAATACCACGTATATCCACTTACAAACTGAAAAAAACTTCGAAGATTAAAATTTTAGTTCAAAAAGTATCTTTGAGTATATAAAATATATGCACAAAAGATTAAATGTTTAAATGCAAATAAATAGATGCACAAATCAGTTTTTTGTGTCTCCTGTAAAATTGTCATTTTGGAGATAAGAGGTATTGTTTCTTAATGATACATGCCATGATACATAACATGATACCCATGTTATGTATCGTGGCAAAATGCCCAAAAAAACTAAGGTTTAGTTTGTTAATTTTTTATGCTTTTTAACCTCGCGTTTGAACAATTCATCATATCGTAGTGGAGAATGTGGGGGTCATAATTCAATTTAACGTTAACAGTAACTTTATGCTATATTGACTAAATTCACGCTGATTGCAAGTTGACTAGTTGTCAATTTTATATTAGCGTCAAATCAATGACAAGTAAACGCTGTGTTAACCATAAACATAATAATACCTAGACTAAGTGCTGCAATATAGATCCGTTCCTCCAGTGCCACAAAGAAAATGATGCAAAGCAGTTCCTGCATATCTTACTAATGAGCGGGGTCATTGACCACGTGCCCTTCCCACTACCAAACACAAGTGAGGTAGCTATTCAAACATAACCTGCATATTTGATTAACAAGTGGAGTGGTAGCTATGTTGTATTGTTTCTGATTTTGGACTTGGATAATGGGGATTCGAATCTTCCACTGATTTTTCGTTTTTTATATAAATTTAATATTAATTAATATTTATTAAGGTATTATATCCCCATAATGAGTGCGAGCAATTCCGGAAAATGTAAGAAGAAAACAAAAATGTGATTTTTATTACAATTGATTGTGGTGTATTTTCATCTATAAAATATTTAGTGAGCAGAATTTAAATTTTACTTTTTGAATATTTACTTTATTTACTTCAAAGTTCCTAGATTTAAATTTTATGCATTTATTTTTTCATTTTAGATTGAGAAAGGCGTAGTACTATGTTATAAACCAGGAGAAATGAACCAAGCTCTTCTCGCGTTCATTACAACTGAGAGTCCGATGAGTGAACACCAAATCGAGTTAATGCTTAAAGAAAAATTAGCGTCTTACATGGTTCCACAAGTCATACTGGTGGAAAAAATTCCCTTATTAGTGAATGGCAAAATTGACCGACAATATCTTTTAAAATCGTACGAAAACACCAATAATAATGGTAAGTTACGTAGTAAAAAAATATACTACCAGAGTGACAATTGTTAATATCTTTATCCCAGTAAATTGTATGGAAAATCGGATATTGGTGGCAAGAGATTCGTTGATTGCGCTGAGCTACGCGGCTCGCGCGCAACTTTTTTATTCGCATGTAATAAGCTTCTTACAAATCTCGTTATGTAATATACTATTAAACCATTACCTTTTTATTTTGGAGCTCTTTCTCAAACAAAATTTTCATTTTTTCAAGATATTTATAACATATACAGTGAACGGCTAAATTATGGAATATTATCATTATTTCGAGAACCGTCGAGTTTTGAGGGAAATCCCGAAACAGGTTGATTTTTGTTATAAAATATACTTCATCTAATTTACTTACCGTTGCACGTCATCCGCGTCATAATTCGTCAGGTCACATGATACCAACACGAAATATTTATGCGGTAGGTGTGTTCTTTTTTAGAATCACTGCGCCGAGTACATTGGCATTACAGCCACTAGACATATTTTATTATATACGCAAAGAAATAATATTTAAAAATTTCTATTAATGTTAACTTAAGAAATACACAATACCATGTTTCATTTAATTTGTATAAATGCATTATAAAGCGTTTTATGAAGAACATTTGTTCGGAACACACTGTAACTGTAATCGAACGAAGGTGATATTTTGGCATAAATTGGTAACACTTATTTGACAGCTGCGGTGTTGACACTTTTTGTACTTTATTATTTTGAATTTGAAAGTGAATACCTTTTGTTTTATATTTTTAACTATTTAGTAATATCTGTTCTTTTTAGAATAAAATTAGTGTGTTTTATTACAAAAATGGCATGTAAGAATTCAAATAGTCGTTGTAAAGAGATGGTAATACTGGTAATACTTTTGCAATAATTATGTGACTTATTTGATTTAAAATGGATTTAGGATTTTTTTATATTTTGGCAACTATGTCAACTTCGATCTCTTTCAATGATAATGACGTGCAACGGTAAGTAAATTAGATGGAGTATACCCATCTTATAACGTACATGGAGTAGGGTGGACGTCAGCGGTGTGGGTAAAGTGACGTAATCGTTAATTTTTTTCAATAGAAATCGGTATAATGCGACACCTCATTTAAACGAGAATTTAATTCTCTATTTAACTACATTACATTTTTAACTAAAATTTTTTTAAGGGTACATAAAATTTGTTTTTAATTTAAATTCAACTAAATTACAACTACTGATTTAATTAATAATGTACTTTAAAGTAATAAAAATTATGCATAATAATTATTTTGACATATGACTTCTGGAGTAATTAGACTCATTTCATGCCTAATTATATCTTTCAAGTCCTGTAAGTTTTGGGGTCTATTGACAAACTTTTGATTTTATGTAACCCTACAGGAGAAAGTCTAGAGGTGTTAGATCTGGCGACAATTCATAAAATCAAAACATTTACGTCAATAAATATTACAGTAACTATGCCACTATCACTTGCTTGAATTAACATTTGACAAAAAGTTTCAGTGTTTATGAGATATCTTTTGGTGTCCATTATTACTTTTACTTATTTTTGCTTTTTTAAGTATTTACTTCAGAAAGTCATGGCAGGAACCGATGGATAGCATTACGAACATTTAATGTAAAATAATTGTTATGCATAATTTGGTTACTTTAAAGTACATTATGAATTAAATCATTAGTTGTAATTTAGTTAAATTTAAATTAAAAAAGATTGTTTTTGTACCCTTAAACAAATATTTTGGTTAAAAATGTAATGTCGTTAAATAGAGAATTAAATTCTCATTTAAATGAGGTGTCGCATTATACCGATTTCTATTAAAAAAAATGAACGATTACGTCACTACACCTACACCGGTGATGTCATCCCCACTCCATGTACGTTATAATATGGGTATTTTATAACAAAAATCGATCTGTTTCGGGATTTCCCTCAAAACTCGACGGTTCTCGAAATAATGATAATATTCCATAATTTAGCCGTTCACTGTATATGATAATAACAAAAAATATATATATTGTGCGTGAAAAATGACAAAATAATTAGGGCGAAGAAAATTTAATTTCAAATGTCAAAATACGCATACGTAAAAAAAATATATTTTCTTGGCTTCCAATAAATCAATTCTCTTCATTTTTTATTTCGGCATACCTAAATTGAATAGAGCCGAACTAGAAAAATAATCATCATATTAATGTTTGTATTTTGAGAAAAAATAAACTAGTTTAACCTTCAACTGTGGCTTATTCTCATTAAGAGTTAGCGTTCATTATCTACAGTTATTTGCGGGACCTATTATCTGCAGTCCAACATAATACCGAAAATTTGCAAAACGTAGTGTATATATATATATATATATATATATATATATATATATATATATATATATATATATATATATTATATAGTCACATAATATGTAATACTATTATTAACAATAATAATACTATTTGTGTTTTGTTTTTAGACGACCTTGAACCAGCAATTGACATAAGCTACGAAGGAGTACCGATCCACCAAATAGAAGCAGCGAAAGTCCTTTTTGAAACAGTAGCATGTGTACTAAATCGAGCTGTCAGATCTCAAATTTCGATCAACTCAAACTTCTTTGAAATCGGAGGAAACTCACTAAATTCTATATATACCATTTCCAAAATGAGTGAACAAGGATTTAATATAAGTAAGTTTTTTGCTGGTATTTTACTTATAGATATAATCTACAAAGTTACAAAATAGAGAACAAACATTGGACGGACTTTAGGCAAAAGACGATTTTAAACAAATCTTGGAAGCCCACCAATAAGAAATGTCCCTTAGCTAAATTATGCCTAGCAAGTTTTAGGAATAAATATAAAAATTTACTTATTACCCACAAATGCGTTACCTGTTTTGTCTACTTCTTTTTCTTCTGCCTACTTGTGTCATCTTCGTATAGCTTCTTTTTGTCATCATCAGTATCAACCTGTACGCATCAACTGCTAAACATAGGTCTCCCTCAGCTCTTTATATCTGTCTCTGTCTTGTACGGCTTGCATCCAGTTACTGCTAACACGCTTCAGGTCGTCAATCCATGTGGTTGGCGGGCGTTCTCTGCTCTGGGTAATTTTTCTTTCTCTGGGTTTCTTCGTTTGGAACTCGGTCTCTCAGGGAGACACCCAACATTTGGTGATCTTCTTGTGAGTACAGGTTATTACTGTATCTTTTTATTGGCGTTCCTATACTTTTTCTTCCTTTGATGATGTATTTTTTCATTCAATTATTGAAAGATTACTAAAGGTATGTTAATTCGGTTTGGTTATCGCCTCATAATGTTTTTTACTAAGCTGTCAGATAATTTTCTAGTTGTAATACATTTTGGAGTAAGTTGAAATCTCTTCCTTAACAATTGTCATTTAAAGATAGCAATTAATAAAAAATTTAATTACTTCCCAAGGTGCATTTGTAATGATGCAGAGAAAGTTTGATTGTAGTCTCTCCAAGATATCTATATTGGACCTGAACGCTACTTTCCATAGTTGTATCTCATAAATCCATAGTAGCTGTATGATTGATTTATAAACTAGGAATAAGTTATTATCTTTTACTTAGTTACTAACCAATATGTTGGAACTTGTTGCTAATGACATGGTGATTGTGTTAAAATTGTTGCTTATTTAATGATACTGGAATGACGTGCTTTATTTTGCATGATAAACTAGGATTGTGCTATAGCCTACTTACTTTACTGTAGAGATGTTATTGCTCTTTGAAAAGTCAGCGGCATAATAAATAATATAACAAGTTCAGATACGTTACGAGATATCCAAGAAGGTTTCTGAACAGTATTTTTTTTATCTAAGACTTCAATAATAAAATTACAGACGTAGTGAATTTTCTCTGTAATGGAATGGTGCTATGTAAATCCAAACTAGTCGTTGGGTATTATTATTTGCTCTGACAAAATAGGTTGTAGACATCATTGGCAGTAGATATATAACATAGATAATTTCTTCTTCTATTTTATATACTGAACTTCTTTATGAACCACTTAAATAAGGAACTTTAATATATAGAAAACCTTAGCAGAGAGAAAGAATTTAGAAATTCTATAAGAAAGTTAACACCAACAGAAAAGAATTCAAGAGAACCACAAGTCAATGCAGAAGTCAGAATGGCGAATTAACAACAAGGAAAAATATATTGAATAGATGGGTGGAATACTTTAACCGGGCACTTCATATAGAGGAAGAAAAAGAAAATCTGGAAGATGAAAGAGATGAGGTAAGGAGAACAGACCAGAAGTAATAGGTATTACCAACGATTCTTAAAGTTAAAGATGTAGTTATAAAACTAGCCAGTAATAAATCACCCAGAATAGATAATCTCCCAGCTAACCATATAAAAAGGGTGGCCACAATATCATAATGGCATTACAGCAGCTTATAAAAGAAATATGGACACAAAAATCCCTCCCTAATGATTGGAACATTGGATAACTTTGCACCATACATAAAAAAGGAGATATCTTTGAATGCTCTAACCACAGAGATATAACGCTTCTAAATGCAACGTACAAAATATTTTCCACAGTACTATATCACCGTATGGCACCATATACAGAACAGATAGTAGGAATATGCCAGGCTGGTTTCAGAGATGATAAATTGACAATTCGTCAGATTGCAAGTCTGAGACAAATTTTAGAAAAACCACTGGAATACGGCATAGATACTCATCACATATTTATAGAATACAAAACAGCCTACGACTCTGTGAATAAAAGGGAAATGTTCAACGCAATGAAATAGCTAGGAATACTAAATCAGTAGGTAAGTTTAAAAAAATAACTCTTAAAAAAATTGAATGTAGAGTACGAATTTAGGGGAAACTGTCTAAAGCTTTTAAAACAAATAAGAGGTTGCACCAGCGGGACCCTTTCTCCTCTATACTGCTTAATATGGCTCTGAAAAAAGTAATACGTATGTCACAAATCACAGTCATTGGTTCAATAAACAATAAATCAGTGCAAATCTTTGCCTATTCTGATAATATCAGTATTATTGGGAGAACGTAAAACCCTGCACGAGAGGCATATGTAGAATTAAAACAATGAGCTACAAAAATTTGTTTAATGATAAACACTAACAAAACGAAGTATATGAAAATAAGCACGCAACCACAAATCCTACGACCACTTCTTATATAAAACGACGTCATCAAAACAGTAAAAGACAAGTACTAAGGCGAATTTATGGAGCAGTGAATAACAATGGAGCGTGGGGAAGGCGACACAAATTTGAACTTTATAGAATATACCAGGAACCAAATATCGTAAAACATATTAAGATAAAATCCACAAGGAAAAAATTCCTGTAGCTAGCTGTATACCACATATCACAAAAAAGAATTTATATCTTTGTATATGGGTATATTTAAAAAAATTAAGATAGGACTAAATTCATCATCATCATCATTTAACCCGGATCTATCCACTGCTGGATATAGGTCTCCCTCAGTCTTTTCCATGTATTTCTGTTTTGTGCTGTTGGCATCCAATTTTTGTCGATCTGTTTTATGTCATCAGACCATCTTGTTGGTGGACGACCTCTACTTCGATGTGCTTCTTGTCTCGGTCTCCACTGTATTATTCGCTGTGTCCATCTGTTATCCGACATTCTAACTATGAAGGACTAAATTACTTAAGGTATATTAAGATTGGACGTCTAACATGGATAGGGCATGTAATGCGGATGGAACAAAAGACCCAGCTAGAAGAGCACTCCTTGATAGACCCATTGGTCAGAGAAGAAGAGGAAAACCCAGAACAAGGTTTTCTGATAACATCGATAAAAACATGGGAAATATGGGAATACGTGCTTGACGGAGAAAGGCGATGGATAGGGGACTGGAGAGAAATTCTTGAGGAGGCTATTATTCTGGAGAGAAATTCTTGTCTTATGAGTTTGGCAACAGGAAAAGATAAATAGATTTTAGATATAATTTCTAGAGAATTTAGTGAGTCTGTTATTATTAGAAAGCTAACTTCTCTACTTTTTGTAACGTAACATATAGCTTTATTTATTGCAAATATTTCTCCTACTAAGATAATATTAATCTCGACTAGTTTATAGTTTTTTATATCATCCTTTTTTACATAGATAGATACTACACAATGTTCCGTCTTATATCCATGGGTGAATAACTGTTTCAAGAAGAAAAATGAGAAATTAAGGTTTTAGATTTAGAATTAATTAAATGACGATAGGTATTTTTATTATTTTTTTGACAATAGATTCAAATTTGTATAAAGAAAAGATATTAGCCAAAAAAGGAGAAGTTGGCATCTTGCTAGGATAGATTTCGGGGACTTAGTTCATTTAAGAGAAATGAATGAATAATCCATTTATGATTCGTCTGCATCTTTCGTAAAAGGAACTGTGGGCTGATGTGTGCCGAATATTCTAGGAGAGACTGGATTGGTGACATTGTAAAGAGTACCTTATTTCCTGTCTTCTTAAATTTATATTGATAGTTTACCGAGTTTGGCCTAAAAAATGTTGATAGTAGTTGTTCTAAATGTACCCTCATATTAATATGTACCCTAATATTATTTAATGGCATCTAAATTTTTAAGAATTATTGTTAACCCTTAAACGGACAGAGAAACAAATAGAACTCTAGAAATAAATTACAACGCATATATCTTTTACATTTGTTTAAAAAAAATATATATTTTTTTTATTTAAATAAACACAAAAAAAACTTACGAGTTGTATCTTACAAGATACAATGCCCATTAAATCATTTCTTATGATAGGGTGTGAAACAATTTCTAGACTTTTTTCCTGACACCAGACATAAACGAGTTTTACATTTTTCGCAATAAACTGTAGTTTGTCCATCTGTACACAATTAACATCTACCTTTATCTACTAAACTTGGAAAGTGACCTATGTTCTCAAATCGAACGTCATCTGTTGGTCGAGGAGCTACTGGATGTTTAATTTTTGCTTTGGTTATTGCTCTGCACTTGAACACTGAGATTTTCTGATATTTTTTGAAAGAATAAGGGATCTTCCAATATTGACGCGAAATTTTTTTAGTTTTTCATATCTTTTTCCCAATGCGACGATTCCAATCTCGACGATATAACAACCAAGAATTGTTCACTGCTATGTCTATGAATTGGCTGAGCATGCAAAGATACCACCTTCTCGATTTGAATGGTGTTTTATATAGTGATATCAGCATATCAAATAGATCAACACTACCCATATGTTAATTATATTGCTTCAATACTTGAGGACACTGCATGTCAACCTTTATTTTTGTTCCTTACTATATCGTTTCACTTGAATTACGGGGCGGTGGGAAACGTATGAGCTAGCTAAAGTGACACATTTAGTATCGGTCCACTTGACTACTGCTGTGCCGTTTGTGTTCAACTTTGTAATCGAAACTTCCTATGCCTTTTTTGAGGAGCGCTTTGTCTGTTTCAAGCGTACCATTTCGTAGTCGGTTACTGCGAATAGTGCCAAGACTCGACAACTGTTTCTCTGTCTTTAGGTATTCTATGAGCTCCAAAGAGCAGAAAAAGTTGGCAAAATAAACCACAGATTCGTTCGGATTTGCAATGGTTCTACATAAATATATAACTACTTGAGCCCCGAGCTCCAACGACTCTTCATAACTGGAAAATGGTATATTTTTGAAAGTGCTCGAACCTGTGTACACTAAAAAGTCGTAAACAATATCTGACACTCCTGAGCAAACAAACATTTTCAATCCCTCATTTTTTAGGCTTTTTGGGCATATATTGACGTAAGTTACCTGATGTACAGTATAATACAGAAAACAGTGTCTCTTGTTTCAAAGACAAACATTTTTGACGTACTTTTTCGAGTATGGGCCGAACTTTGAACAATCTGTCGCCATTTGCATCCATTTTATTATCTTGAAAGTGTATGAATTGTCTAAGCTTTTTGAATCTCTTCGCTGGCATTACTTCAGCGATTGTGTCATGTCGAGTTTCAAGACTCCAATAATCTTTAAAAGCAGGCATTTGTACCACACCCATTAGCATCGCCATGCCCACAAAACCTTTTAGTTCCAATGGTGTCGTGTTGATAAATACCCCTGTTGATAATGTGGAATATACATTAGTTTCATTTGATATATAGGCAAACAACTCGTCATAAAAAAATCGCTGAAAATATGTTAGAGGTATATACTCGTCATCGGGTGCATAGAAAGATGGTTCTGTTGGAAATTTAATATGTTGAAAATCAGTTTGCTCCCACTTGTACTGTTCCGATCTCTTTTTCGCAGTTTTGGATCGTGATGGTAGCGGCTGGTCGTCTTCTCATTCTGTATCACTGAGCGAAGCAACTGGAAGCTTATTTGATTTAGAGGAAGGATCTTCATAGTCTGGATCAAAATTATCAGCATTATTACCATAAATCTCTTCTTTGTCTGATGACTCTCCTATATCAGATTTATACTGATCATCAGGAGGAAGTACTGCAATAACCTTTTTACGTGAACCGTAGAAAGAAGTGGTATAAAAAACAATAATTCATTCACATTTATGGTTTAGAGTATATAAACAACTATTTATCCGCATTAGAACACAACTTATCATAATTTGATTCACCTATTTACACTTTTTGAATATCATATGGTTGAACAAAATAAATTTTGCCAATATGTGAAAAGAAAATTGAACGATCAAATAAAATTATCGCTTTAAAATTAATCCTTTATATTCGCAGTACTATGTACTAATATAAGTTGAAATAACAAAACACAAATTTATAATAAAAACAAAAATATGATTACTTTTTTACTTACTTCATCAATAGACTGTGCTTCCCCAATTTCACTAACAACACTGACTCGATTTTACTTGAATACAAACTGGTTTGTCTCGCGCTACCTGCTTTTATTCGTAAAGAGTGACAGCATGTCATTTGAGTAAGCATCCATCATCGATCTTGAACGATGCACCATATACCTATATACCTAATTCTGTTTTTCTTTCTGCTCTCTTTTACCTATAATATTACATATTTAATGATTGTGCAGATTGACTCCCATATATATTTGTAACGGCGAACGCATGTATGGAACTCCCATTGGACTACCACACCCGTTTTTTATTAATAATTGTAAGTATATTTTCTTGATAGCCCCATGATTTTAGTGTTGATGTTATTTTTGATGCCAAGCCATATCAAATGCTTTGTGCAAATGAAACTAAATTGACATATTTTTGGTTTTTTCAAAAGGCATTATTAATATGTTTTTCTATATATACTAAATTCCTGATGTTCGATTTTAAGGTACGAATTTCAGATTGTTCATTAATTAATTGTTTATTTTCTTCCAGACACCACAATAAACGTTTATTTATATATTTTTTTAAAAGCTTACACACTACATAAGTTAGTGACAGGACGATAGAATCTTATTAGTTCCAATGATGGGAATAGTTGTAGATGTTTTCCATAATTTGTGAAATTCATGTTTAGTTTATATTTGATTATATATCCTTAATAATACTTCTACAGCTTCGTTGGGTCTGTGTTTCAAAAAAGAAGATGACCAGGAAGAAGATGGGTGGTGTTTCATCGGGGCCAGGAGTTGTGTCCTTTAAAGAATTCACCATATCTCTTAGTTCTCTGATTGTGTTAAGTGCATTTATAGATTTATCATTGTTTATTATGTTAATAGGGTTGTTGTTAACATGAAACTATACATTACACATTTTGACATACACATAAATAAATATTCATTTTATTTACTTGATTTTATCAAACGTGTTGTTTATAAAGATTCGTCCATTTTAGGAATAGGAGATTTTTTGTCAGCTATGGATTTTGGAGAAATATTATTGAGAATGACTTCGAATACAACAATTCATATTGAAGCACCTAGTTTTTCATACGATTTGCTGAAACCTTGTTACAAAAGTGTTGTATGCGAGTAAGTAAATGATTTATTTATTTTAATTAAATTTCAAACTTTACTTATTGGTTGTATCAAGAATTTAACTAATTTTCTCTTAAGAAGAACCACTATTGCTGAAAATTCAGCGATGAATTTTGAAGAGATATCCGCGAGAATTACTTCAAAAAGTCCATATTAAAACCAATCTTTCAATGTTTACCAATTTTTTAGGTAACATTTTAATTAGTTTTTTATTTATTTCAGTATGATTACCACCAGTTTTTACGAAAAAGCCGATTTGGAACAATGGGTGAAACCTGACATATCTCCAAAGGATTATGCTGAACTAATGGAAAAATTATGGGAGCCTTTATTGGAGCAAAATCTAAGTTTTATTGTCAAGAACGAATACGGCAAAATAGTTGGAGTGGCTTTAAACTTCGACGCCAGAGACGAACCAGACGTTGAAATAACCTCCAAATTGACTGTGATATTCGAATTTTTGGAAAGCATTGAAGGACCTATAAGGTAAGTTTTTAACCTTTAATTGTTAATATTAGAAATCTGTTATGTTATCAGTCTGATAGACTCCTTAGAATTAATGTATTATTGAAATGTGCGAAATGTACGATGAATTACGGAGTGCTCTTTGCCCAGTCAGCTGTTTTCCAGATAGTTCGTTCTCATTTTATACGCCAGCAGGGGCGAATATATTCGTTGCAAAATGGGGGTGTATGATTATGGAAGTTGAAAATTGAGGACAGAAACTATTGGGCTATAGATAAGACAAGCAAAATAAATCAATACTTATGCGAACGGCACTCAGGGTTTGTTTGGAGAGCTGGGGTCGTAAATAAGTAAATGTCAATGGGGTTGGATAACGGAAACTAGAAAAAATTAAACAAAGGGGTACTAACATGAATCCTGGAACAAATGGGCAAAACAAAAGGAAGCACCTCTAGCAATATAAAAAGGACGCCGCTTCGAGGTGGCAAATTATAGCGATTACAACAGCTAGTTTTAACTATTGAAATAATTATTAAAAATAAAAAATATATATTTTCAAATGAAAGTTAAAATATCAACAATAGTTTAAAAAATCAACAAAATGTTGTTCTGAAGCTATTTTCTTGTGGCATTGTAAATTAATTACTATTTAACTGGGAATAAGCCACAATTAAAGATAAAAATACGTTTATTGACGTTTCAATTTCCACTTCGGAAATCGTTCTCAAAATACAAACAGTAAATTAAACAAATTTTGTTTTTTGTTACATAGTGAAAAATTCTTCTAATAATTTAATTTTATCTGACTCATTTATAATGACAATTTAGACATACATTATGCATTTTAAAGTAGACGACTTTAAAATAATATTGCCAATATTGTTGAGTTGCGCTCCTGGGACGACTTTACTTATAAATTCAATTACATTCGATTACATTCAATTACATTCGATTACATGAAATCAACTTTAACTTGAGAATATCCGTCAGAAAAAAATCATAGCATGTAATTCGTCTTTAAAAAGACAAACACATGACATGATGTCAGTAAAATTCTCCTGTTAGTGATTCCATAGTAAATTATGAGGGAAAAACCAGGAAAAAAACCTCATAATACTATCCCGACATTGTAAGTATTTGTTCGTGAATTTAGTTTACCTTCAACAAACATCAAAATTCTGATTTTATATGTTACGTTATTTAAAAAACATAAATAATGTATCCTCTATATGTTACTGACTTACTAATACTGGTATTTTCTTATTAATAACTTCCTCTTTCAATATTGGTAACCAGATCCTACTACATTCTTCCGAGGAATTTGCGACACAATTGGCCTCATTTAGCATAATTAGAGCCGCTTCTTTGATTTTTCTTTTTTTACCATCCGTTTCTTTTAGGACTACACTTGAATTATTCCATTGAACCCTATCTTCATTATCCCATATAGATTTGAGGTCTATCAAATTCTCTATTTTTAATATAAGATTGATGTTCACTTATTCTAACATTTAATGACCTTGATGATTCACCCAAATAAAATTGATCGCATTCACAAGGTATTTTATAAATGCAATTCTTTGTCCTTTCTTGTTCATTGTTAGGTTTGGTTTTGGACAAAATAGATCTCAACGTGTTTGTTGTTTTGAACGTTGTTGAAATGTTGAATTTATTTCCTATCCTTTTAAGTTTTTCTGATAATCCTTTTATGTACGGTATTGTTATTTTCCTCATATTATTCCTTGTGTATGTTTGTATTTTGAGAACGATTTCCGAAGTGGAAATTGAAACGTCAATAAACGTATTTTTATCTTTAATTGTGGCTTATTCCCAGTTTAATAGTAATTAATCAACAAAATGGTTTAGGAAAAAAATTAAACATTTATTGTGTCTCACCACAAACAGTTACAAAAATAATTGGCACAAATTACTATATAGATAGTTACAGAGTACAAAAATAACAAAGAACTTACATGTGCCCTAGCCGTTTACAAACTCTATTAGTTGGAGATACAACAAAAACTTACAAATGATACTACATGGAGGTTAACCAAAAACAACAAAACAAATTAATATCAAAAATAATAAAGCGAGCTGTCATAATATGTTAACATTAAATTTTAAATCTAAAAACAAATAAATTGACAGCTAAAGTCAAAACCTAAAATTTACAATTTTAAATATTACAAACCCCCTCTGTGGCTCAGTGGTAAGAGCGCCTACCTTTGAACCTAAAGGTCGTGAGTTCCAATCTCACCTGGGTGGAGAAATTTTCTTTTATTAAAAATTAATAAATGAAACTAATTTCTATCCTTGTGAGATCGGTAATCACCGGAGGGACCGCAGACGTTCGGATACAATTAGCGTCTCGTAGCAAAGACAATGACGTTGACTTTGACGTCGACGCTAAGTATCAAGACAATTACTCTACACACACACTACACTCGACACTAGGTACCTGACTGTAAAAATTCACTGTACCATGCCAATGGCCATTAGTTGTCGACGCATTAAACTCAATAATAAATATTACAATTTTTAACCTGTAAAAACCTGTAAAAAAATGTCCACCTTTAGTTTTAAAGTTTGATAAAAAAAAAGTTACCTGAGTTTCACAAAAAAATTGCACTAAAATTTCTGGGATTACCTTCTCTGTCACGCAAAAACTGCATCTTCAAACTGAGGAAAAAATATCTCCAAACCGCCGCTTAGGACATTGAGGATTGAAATCGGCGGTACTAGATATAAACTTCAGACTGGACTTCTTCAAAAAAAAAACAGGAAATTGGAACATCAAAATTGCTGCAGGCGACACAAATCTCATATACTATTTCAACCTCCTTTGTAATTACACATACTGCACAATTAACTTTACACTGCTACACATTTTCCATGAAATGGGGCAAAAACATAAAACTTTACAAATTCGACGTGAAATTTGGACAAATGTTAAAAGCAGTTTTCTCTGACAACGCTTCCGCTAGAGTGAGCAATTATTTTGCCGGCAAAAACTTCTCAGTGATCTAAATGAATGTTTATTTCAAACGCATATCGAGCGGTTTTCAAAGAAAAATATTGGAGAATTTCGTCGGTGACATAAACAACTTTAAAACGGTTTATTATCAACTCTATGAAGACATAAATAGAACGAAATACTATTTGGGTTTTAAGTCGTACGATAGGAACAGAGAAATATGGAAAACATTCTTCGTTATTTTAATTCATATATGACTGGATTAAAATTTAATACATACACGAAGGGATTTCAACATATAGTAAAATGCAAATGTTACAAGAGAAGAAGAGATCAAGGATCCTTGACAACATTGACAAAAGCATGAGAAGTATGGGAATACGTGCTTAGCGGAGGAAAGCGCTGGATAGGGACGACTTGTTCTTCTTCAAGTTCGATCTTCTATCGAAGGTTAAAATCATTATGGATATGCGGGCTCTGTTGAGTGTTCTAAATCGTTCTGTACTACTGCATTTAAACTACTCCCTCATGATCTTGAGCAACTACATTCTTCGTCTTCGTACATTTCGCTTTCCTCGAATTTTGTCTTGCATAATAAGTTTCAATAATGAGTATTTTGACCCTCTCATCATATATCCTAAGTACTCAAGTTTTCTTCTTTTGATAGTCAATAATATTTCAGCTTCATTTCTTATTCTTTTATTAACTTCTGACTTTGCCATTATTTGAGTCCATGATATTCATAGGATTCTTCTGTAACACCAAAATTCAAAGGCGGCCAACTTATTCAGATGCTCTTGTTTCAATATCGATGCTTTTAAGCTATAAAGAAGAGTAATGAATACGTAACACCGAAGCAACCTTAGGTGTAGCCCTTTATTCCGGCAACAAAGAAACTTTTTAAGTTTAAAGAATTATGCACGTGCTATTTCAATACGTGTTTTAATTTCTTTGGTTTGGTCTACATTTAATGTTATCCATATTTCAAAGTATTTGTAGGTATTTACAACTACATTTACAATTAGAGTATAGTCTACAATTAATTGGATGTTTGCATCTGCTCATTTAGTCATGATCATACATTTAGTTCTCTTTAAATTCATCCTTAATCTGTATTCCTGACAGCATTCATTAAGGCGTTGCATTACGTTCTGTAAATCATTATTATTACTTCTCCATTTGTAGATATTCCTTCTATTGAATCTGAGAGTGCTTCTCTAAATACCGCTTCACAGCAGACATCAAAGAGTAGTTTTGACAGCACGCAGCCGTGGATGACTACTCTCTGTATTTTAATATCTCGGGTGTTCTAATGTTTAACTATTACCTTGGCAATTTGATTCCAATATAGATTAGAAATAATTTTCATATCGCGACTGTGTAATTTTAAAAATCTACAAAACGTCCTGATTTATGTCCATGCATCTCTGACAGCACCTTTAAGCCGAATAAAGCATCTCTTGTATCCATGCCATTTCTAAAACCAAATTGTGTGTCACTAATTCCATATTTCAAGGATTTTAACAATTGGGCTGTGTATTATTTTTAAAACTGTTTAAGTGTGTCACTCATTAAAGCTATTGTTCTGTAATCTGAGCAGGATGTTGCACTTGACTTTTTGGATACTGCTACAAAGGTCTATTGTGGCAGTCTAATATATTAGATTAATGAGTTCAACCATTATCAGTAACATCTTCATCAATGAGATTTAATAATTTGATGGGCACATCATCTGGTCCAATAGCTTTGCCCTCTTTTATGTTTTTGATGGTATATATGACTTCTTCCCGTAATATTGGTGGTCCGGTATCTTCTGTGGGTTCTAATGACATTTCTCCTCTTTCCTTATTAAATAGCTTTTATATGTAATTGGTCCAGTGACACAATATTTCCTTTACATCAGTAATAATATCTCTTCTGTGGTTTCTAATGAATTTCTTCTCTTTACTTATTAAATAGCTTTTGGATGTAATTGGTCGAGTGACACAATATTTCCTTTACATCAGTAATATCATCTCTTTATCATTTTTAAGGATATTGGTTCTGGTGCTTTTTCTAGAATATGTGATTTCTTGGATTTTTTTCTGTCAACTAAAGGTATGACACTTTAATCCAGATCTTCTATTTCATTGCCTCTATCGGAGAGCCATCTTTCTTTTACCTCTAGAGTTTTTTTTTCTGATGTTTTTCTAACTTTCTTTGTACTTATTCAAGTTTTTTGCTTTATGTTTTCTTCGTTCTTTCATAAGTTTAAGAATTTTAAAAGTGGTTTGAGGGTTTCTTTTCCAACTAACACAAGGTCATGTTAAATTTTGCAGCCGCCAAAGTGACAACTAGAGAGAAATTACTGAGAGGGATGGGATCCATGTAGGGTTGTAGAGTCAGAATGATGATGATCAATTATCTATTTGTAAAAATTGTAGACATTTAAATTATTGTATTCATTTATGGAATTGATAGATACTGTGTAAGAAAATTATTAGAAATTGGTTAAAATTGCATAAATCTATTAAGTATAATATGGTATGTCATTATTGTGAATATTAAAACTTTCTTATCTATTTTTCTATCATTATTATTTAATTTTATTATAACTTTATATAAAATAGATCAATTAAATATTTAGTGTATATATATATATATATATATATATATATATATATATATATATAGATATATATATAATATATATATATATATATATATATATATATATATATATATATATATATATATATTTAAAATATTATGTAAAATATGATTAAAATGGGTACCTATATTGTTTGATTTTTAGAGACAATCAATTGCCCCCTGGTAAAGGATCAATTTTACATTCTTTCATGATGGCTACACACTCCTCATTGACACCAAAAGAAAACGTAGCTGTAATGCAATTCATCGAAGGAGAAGTATTAAACATCGCAAAGGGAGCTCATTTTAAGGGAGTCTTCACAACCAATACCAACCCTCTTACGCAGGTAGGTTATAAAAAGACATTTAGGAAACTCAAATAGGAGCAAGTAAATAAAAGCTGCATGTTATTAACTTATCTGGTAGTGATATGAGTTTTTGGTCTTATAATGAACACAACAATTATTTTCGAATGCAATAGGTTGTATATTTAGGTATAATCTTATGATGGAATAAAGATATCCCAAATGAAAATAAGGAAAGTAAGGGTGAAGCTGTGGTGGAATCAATTTTTAGCTATATATGAGATGTGTGGAGTTCAAATAGTTCGAAGGTTTTTATAAGTGGTAATAATAAGTATATGATAATACTGCGAAAAAGCACAGTAATATCAAGAATATTATTATAGCATATATACTAGCCTATATTGTATCAAGAAAGAAGAAGTAATAATGAAGTAAGACCTCAAATGAGGGTAGAAAATACAGTGGTCCATGGAATAAAAATCAGTATCTGCAGTAGTTTGAGCATTTATTAATAATACCTACTGAGCTATGGCCTATAACAGTATTTCATGGCAGACCATTAAGCAGAAGAAAATGGGGTAGACAAAGATTATATGGAAAATAAAAATCATTTTCAACGAATCAAAGCAAATATTTAAGACCTATAAGACGTTTACTAGTAGCTATTGGAAGATACCGTAACAGGGATAAGAAATTCCACATATTGTCTGCTCTTCATTGAATACTGGAAAGCCTTACACTGGAAAGAGACTTCCTGTAAATTAGACTCAAGTTAAAAACAGCCTCATAAGAGTTATTAGAATTATTGACGCCTGCCAACGAACTTCAAAAATCATAAAACACCACATTAATAGATGTTACATTTCTTTTTGTTTAAAACTTCTTTCACCGATTCTTCAGAGGATCTTAGAGGTATATAAACATTGCTATTTTTTGCCATTTTGCCATAAAAAATGGCAAAAGGTAGACCGGTCTATCTGGCGTTTGTTGATCTAAAGAAAGCATACGACTCAATATCTAGAGTCAAATTATGGGAAGCAATGAATGATCTCGGAATCCGACAAACACTAATAAAAGCAGTTAAAGCATTGTACAAAGAAAACAAAGTAGCTATTAAATGTGGAAATAAAGCCTACAATCCATTTAAGACGACAAAAGGACTTCTACAAGGCTGTGCTACGTCCCCTACTCTGTTTAAAATATTCTTGGAAAAGACATTCAAACCATGGAGGAGAAAGTGCGAAGGAATGGGCATACCAAAAAGAGACGAATACCTATACACCTTAAGTTTTGCCGACGATCAAGTAGTCATCGCACAAGATGAAGAAGATCTCAGCTTTATGCTCAGAAAACTAGAAGAAGAATATAAAAACAACGGAATGGAAATAAACTTAGAGAAAATCGAATACCTAACAACAGAAAACAAGGATGTGAGAAACCTAGAGATAGACGAGGGAAGACAAGTAAATGGAATAGCCAAATTCAAGTATTTAGGAATCATAATATCGAACCAGGGAACAACAGAAGAAGATATAAACAACAGACTAAGACAAATAAGAAACTGTATAAGACAACTAAATTCAGTGCTGTGGGATAAGAACATTACGATAAAGACAAAAAAGAGAATATATAATACCCTGACAAGAAGTATCCTAATTGCTATTTAACTCAGAATAAGCCACAATTAAAGATAAAAATACGTTTGTATTTTGAGAACGATTTCCGAAGTGGAAATTGAAACGTCAATAAATGTATTTTTATCTTTAATTGTGGCTTATTCCCAGTTAAATAGCAATTAATTTAAAATGCCACAAGAAAATAGCTTCAGAACAGTATTAAGAAATATCCTGACATATGGGTCCGAAAACTGGACAATAAACACGAGAGATAGAGGTAGAATAAAAGCAGTAGAAATGAAGTTCCTGAGGAGAAGCTGTAGACTTACAAAAAGAGACAGTATTGAAAACGCAAAAATTAAGCGGAGAATGAGAGTGCAATCAGACATAATCGACTATATAGAGGAGAAGAGACTATCCTAGTACGGCCACGTCAGAAGAGCGGACAGAGGACGCTGGATAAACAAAATCACAGAATGGAGCCCGATTGGAAGAAGAAAGAGAGGAAGACCCCAAAGGTCATTCAGAGACGAAATCGACGAGGCTATGGAGAAAAGAACCCTGCGAGATGGAGACTGGAATGATAGGGAAAATTGGAGAAAACGGTTGAGTGAAGGAAGACAGTGAAAACTGTGAAAATCCCTAGTAGTAGTATAAATATTGCTTAGAAGGGCTTTAATTCCTTTACCAGCAAATATTACACACAGTTATTCTAATTTATCATTTAAGGTCTGAACATTTGATTATTATCTTCCATCTGATTGTTTTGGTAAACGTTTTCAATAGTTGCTTTATGCCAGATACTACATGTGTACATGATCTTACAATACAAAGACCGTGTTGTTTATCTGCCAAACCTATCCCCTGATTTATCCATTCTTGTAGTATTTTAGTTGTAAGTTTCAGGCCGTTATTTAACAAGTTAACAGCTTTGTAGTTTTCTGGCTGTTTTTTATCGCACTATTTGAATAGTAATTTAACGTTAATTAAACCTGGATAGGTGACTAGGAGGACTTGGAATCTTATACCCTAGAAGATTGTTTTAAGAAACTGGGCACATCAATTTTCAATTTACTAACAGAAATATCCAATGGAAAATGATACCTTCTAGAATACATCCTTATATAAACTTGAATATTCATTTCTCTTGTAGTTAAAGTGGTACCTGGACAAATTTCTAGCTCTCTAGCTGCCAGGCCACGATTCTCTTGATTTCCACTTAGAGGGCGATTGTGTTCCGGTTCTTATTTGTGACATTGTAAATAAACACTAGCTAGGGTCATTTTCCGATGCAAATAAATGATTTTATTTTGTTTATTCTAACCGAAGGTTTTGAGACGGGAGGAAACGATTTAAAAAGAATGGCGCCTTTGTTTTTATTTTATTTAATTAAGACTGTATAAGTAAATATTCAGAATATGTCTTTTCATTCCGAATTAAGTGTTTCTCTTTCGAAGATTCTAAAATGCAATTTAAATATTTATAAACAACCCTCTTTCGAATAATTTTAATACGTAGATTAAAACCTTATACAGGGTTATGGTTATCGTTATAGAAGATCGAAGCAGGGCCCATTTGTGAGTCCATCAGACACTTAGACCTCTTAAGACCGATCCACTGTATTACCCGTATCACAAGAACCCAGTGTTTTGCATTTCTTTGGTTCAGGCTGCTCTGGGCTTCCATATCTACTATAATCAGCAGGGGCTCCAAATCTGAGCTATTTTTGCCGTTCCAAGCATCTAATCCTAAAGTTACATTGTGGCCTTACAGAAAGCCACAAGTTTCTTTAAGGGTGTCTTTCTCATTTAGCAATAAAATATTTTTAGTTAGGGACGTATTTGATGACATTTCTAACTTCTTAAGTAGTGTCGGGTTCTAAGTGATTATTGACAAACGTGCCTCGTTATTAATATTTAAATATATTTTCAGCAACTGAGTTCCATTTACAACTATCAAACAATGTTGGATTGCCAAGTCAACCAATACGTCGCCAGTGACAACACCAAGCCTTTCGGACTGGCACCCGACGACCAAAGAGCCATCGTCAACTGGAAATCCTTGGAATAGACTTTAAGTATCCAGGAGATATTTGTATGGAACAAAAACGACGAGACTGGCGTAATATTTATTTATAAATAATTACGAATCCAGGTCTCGGCAGTATGTCTGCGTTGTGATAAAGAATGTGTACCTAGACTATGTAAAGTCGTTTGAACTAAATTTAAATTATTAGATATAATAATAAAAATTACACTCTTTTTAATTTATAAAAATTTTTTTTAAAAATCATCATAGAAGAAGCGGTAAAAAACAGAGTTATTAAGGTAAAGTTGGAGACCCCAAAAATGTGTCTTAATTTAGTCTACCTAATCCAATAAGAATAACGGTAGTTTTTTGAATATGTACATACTGCTTTAAGCTTTTAAGCTATTTTATGGTTATTTGTTTTTAATTTTTTTTAATTTTATTTCTTGTTCTTCTAAAGAAAAATGTTCTTGTGATAATCTGGTTTTAAATTCACATTTAACGTCACTCGTTTCGTCAACGTAATCTCTTAATATCGATATTACAAAAACTTTCAAAGTAATTCTTCCCTTAAGGTGTATAATTATTATTTCTTCCTATGGTCAATAAAAGAGTTTTGTTTAGTAGTTTATCATTGTTTGTTTCCTTACTATACAGAAATGTCAGAAATCGCGTTATACTGTATTGTCTAAACTCAGCACCAGATTTAAAGGAAATTTAGTAATTAATTTTATCCTACGATTATCAAATTTTGTTACTACGTCTGTCAGTAGTGGCTAGCTGTTTTTATACAACTAAGAACAAGCCAATATCAATTAAGTTAAACGCAAAACATTATTAATTTGCAGTTTCTTAATAAAATTAAACTGCATCAATTAAAACAATCAAACAAAAGCTTAAATATTTAATCATCATCATTTGGTGCTACAGCACTTCATGAACTGGACTACCTAAAAACATTCTTCCATCCCTCCCTCAAGTGTCTGTCTCTATCCCCTTACTAGAATCTCCCTTAAATCTTTCTGCATATCGTCCAGATACCTGTATTTGGGTCGCCCCCTTCTTTTTCTTTCGACTATCCTAATTAACATGATTATTTTAAAGGGATCACCTTTATCCATTCTGCATAACGTGACCCACTCATCTTAGGCGGTTTATTTTAATGGTTTTTACGATATCTGCATCACCAAAAAGTCTATTGAGTTTATTATATCGCCTTCGCCAGAGACCCTGTTTGTTAACTCCGCCATATATGGTTCTCAATACTTTTCTCTTAAAGATTGGTCTTCTTCTTCTTGTGGTGCTTATTAGTTACAGATGTTGGCTACTAGCATGGCAATTCTAACTTTATTGACCGCAGCTCGAAATAGTCCTGAAGTGGTCAAGAAAAACCATTTTCGTAAATTCTGGAGCCAAGATATTCTTCTTCTTCCTGGTCCCCTTTTTTCGTAAACCTTTCCCTGTAATGTAAGCTACAGCAGATTATTCTAGCCAAGATATTCTAGCTTGCGCTATTTTACTGTGGATATAATTTCACATGTTTTATCCATCCGACGTAGAATCTCAATTTTTGTTACTCGGTCCACCCAGGAGATCCTCAGTATCCGTCTATAACACCACATCTCAAACGCCTCGAGTTTTCCCGTGGATGCCTCGGTTAGTGTCCATGATTCAACTCCGTAGAGCAGCACTGTAAACACGTAGCATCTCAATAAACGGATTTTTGTTTTTAAGGGTAGGTCGCGGCTCTTAAATATCTTGCTCATTATGACAAACGCTGACCTGGATTTTTCATTTATATGTTTTATCTCAACTGAGTGGTCCCATTGGTTGTTTATGGTGGTTCCTAAATAGTAGTAACGGGGCTACCAGTAATTGACTAGGTGGAATGTTCTTCTTATTAAGAATATATATCTAACTTATTTATGTGTTCTTGCTTCAATGACCAGCTTTCAGGTCCATCTTGCATTATCGAAAACACGTAGCATCTCAGTGCTCTTACTCTCAGTTCTAATCTAAGATCTTTGTTGCAAAGAATTGTTTTCATGTATTTGGTCTTTTTTATCATCATTTTTAGTCCATATTTTTCACAGAAACTGTTTGTTTTGTTTAGCAAAAATTGGAGTTGTTCAGCAGAGCTTGTCATAATCACGGTGTCATCTGCATATTTTATGTTGTTAATAGATCTTTCGTTAATTAATATTCCTTCACTTTGAGATAGTAATGCTTTTTCAAAAATGGCTTCACTATATACATTAAATAGTAATGGGGACATAATAAATCCCTGCCTAAGTCCTCTCCTGATTTCAATTTCTGGACTGGGTTCGTTATTTATTACGATTTGTGCTTTTTGATTCCTGTAGAGGTTTGTTATTATCCGTAAGTCCCTATGGTCTATGTTTTTGTCTTTAGAATTTGGACTAATTTTTCATGTCTTACTCTGTCAAATGCTTTCTCAAAATCAACGTAACAAATATGCACATCAACATTCATATCCATGCATCTTTGAGCTAATACAATTAAAGCAAATAGCGCCTCTCTGGTTCGTAGTCCATTTCCTGACTATCATCTATTCCTAGTTCCAGTTTTTTATTTATACGACCGTGTATTATTTTGAAGAATAATTTGAGCACAAAAGGTGGAGAGTTACCATTGTTTCGGTATGTGTCTTTACCATTTTTGTTGTTTTTTAAAGCCATTTTAATTTTCTCTTTTAATATCTTTAAAACCATATCCTCTTCTACTTATATATCTAACTGATCTGTTCTATTGTCTTTGAACAGTTCATTGATGTATTCTGTCTATCTCTTTAATTTGTAGTTTAACAGTTCTTATTATTTTACCACAATTTAAAAAAATCAATCTTTTGCATGCCATAGAAACTGAGATATTGTCAATTTTTTTCAGCGCGCTCAACTTAAAGTTCGCTTTTAACAAAAATAAGCTCAGACAGGTATTTTACAAGTACTATCACTTTAACAGGTTATACCTTTCTACTCCTCACTATATGCCATTATGTCAACTCAATATCGTATTATTTTTCTCTCGTCACACCATGCAATAAATTCAGCGTATGTTTTTTCGTACAACACTCTGCTTTTTTCAGTCAGTAAACTTAAAGATATTTCATTTGCAGTTTCTGTCACTTCTGGTGGAGTTAAATTAAACTATTTCTCAATATCCATCTTTTGATTTTTTGAATACACAGAATTTTAAACAATAAAGTAAATAATGACATACAATGACTGATAGTACTAACAGCGGCTACTTCATTTTAAATTTGTTAATGGGAATATAAATAGGTATATGTTTGGTTGCCTACACCACAGGTCACTGCCAATCACAGAGCGTTTAATTAATTTATGCAAGCAATGTATGTTGTGTTGCCTATAATGAAATCGTTCATTGATAAAAAATCTTTCATTATTAAGTGTCATTAGTCAATGATTTTGAGGGTGTTAAAATTGATCATAAATGGACGGTCGACAGAAAAATATTTTAATTGAGAAACTCGCAAATTAAAGAACTTTTTACGGTCTACAACTATTATTTGAACTATTTTTTTCCAAAATGTATAAGAATATTTTATAGGCAAAAATAAAGTTTTACTTTTTATGATTGATTAAAAAAATAATGCAAAACATAGAACCTTCAAAATCCTGTATAAGATTTTTTTCAGCTTTTTTTCGTTTACTATCCTATGTATCGCTTGATATATTGCATTTTACATTTTATTTCTTTTGCTAATGATAATGATATCTTACGTTCCTCCTTCTTTAAGAACGTTTTACCAATAGAGGTTTGATTTCATCCTGAATAATATTTTATCTATTGCTGCTCTAAATAGCTCCATTGAAATTGAATTGCTTTTTAATCTACAGTATTAGTTTTCCATCTACGTTTTTCTATTGTTAGTATGTTTACTTCATTTATGTTTGGGTCATATTTCAGTATCTGCATTACTCGCTAGTTGGGCCTCTTTCGGATATTTTTCGTGATTACCATTGTTTTTGTCTTCTGTGTATTAATTTTATGACCATATTTTTGGCCTTCAAACACTACGTTGTTTAGCAGATTTTATAGTTCTTGTTCGCTTCCGGCAATTAATACCGTATCGTCGACATTTGGGATGTTATTAGCCGTTCTTCCATTGACTAGTACCTTCTTGTGCCTCATCCAGAGCTTGTGCAAGTATCTCTCCTGAATACAGGTTGAATAATAATCGCGAGAGTATGTAACCTTGTCTAACTCCTCTTTGGATTTTTATGGTCTCAGTGTCCCCCATCTCCGTTCTAATAAATGTATTTTGGTTCCACTAGAGTTCACTTTATATTATTAGGGTCAAGGTTCTCATACTCAATCCTAATCAACCCGTATACAACCTTTTTCGCTTACTTGCGCATTCGAGCATTCGAGCTTACCACGCGATGGTTAATATATTTGTTCCCATATTTAAGTTATATTAAAATTAACGCTGAAGAGTACTATGTACTATATTTTTCGCTTTTTCACTGTATTATAATGTATCTAATAAGTTACCACTGATCAAAATTTTAATTTTGATCAATATTTATATTATTTTGTATAGAAAGTATTTTATTGTAATGTTAAAATTACTGTAATTCAACCTGAAATATAATAAAGGTTTTTGAACAAATGCAAACAATGTTTCTTTTACCTAATGTTTTTTCTCTGATTTTAATAACATATGTAATATTTTTTTATTACTCCTTTATTATTATTGCAACAAAATACTGAAACATTGACAAAAGAATTGGTAATTATAGAGAATTATAGAAATACTGAAACATTTTATTTTGTTAATAAAAAAAATTAATATTATTTATAAATTAGTGCAAAAAAACTGCTTTTTTGCAAATATCTTGTAAATTATTTATCAATTTTAATTAAAAAAAAAAAACGGAAAAATAAAGATATTCTTGATATAAAAAAAAATAATTCTTGATATAAATATTGTTTATGTAAACTATAAGGGAAAAAACTTATGGACAAAAAATTAAATTGTGACCATAATTTATTGTTTAAAAAAAACGCAAGGTAAAAATACGAGTACTTTTTCATTTATTCGTCATCTAGTAACCCCACCTATGTCTTAAAAGCTTCAGATATCTGCGAAAAAATTTTTGACCTTTTTTTTAAACAGACTGGTCTAAAAAGTTTTTGTGTGGTGGCGCCACCTATTCACAGAATAGGTTACTACAAGCGATTAGTCCGCCATCTAGGCTAGGCAACTAGACAACCTTTACCATAGAAACCATTGAATTACCAAATTCCAAATTTAATTATTGTAAAACATTTTTGTTGTAATTCCACTTTAATGGATTAAAAAATGAAACACAGAATCAAATAATAGTAAAAAAGAATACATATTATCTACAAACCATACAGACAATATAATATATTATCAGTATGGTATCTACTACGTTTGAGCAGACAAACGCAGTAGAGGAAGACCACCTACACGTTGGGCCGACGACATCAGGCGTATCACTAAAAATTGGCAACAAAGAGCACAAAATCGTGAGGAATGGAGGAGTTTAAGGGAGGCCTATGTCCAGCAGTGGACGTGATAAATAGAGGCTGGATGATGATGGTATCTACTGGATAAAAACTGTTTACCTTAAACTTTTTTATCATTTAAAAATATCAAAAAAGTTACACAAAAAGTATCATTAACAATATGCTCATTCTTTCGTATTAAAATTCCACTAATTATTGTACTATAATAGGAAATATTAACCACATTTTACTTTCTATAGCGCCATCTTTACGTCATTGTTTCGATCAATGTTTGTGCTATCTAGATGAAAACTAAAAGTTCAATTTCCAAACAAAATGTTTGAGAAATAATTTCTGTAATAGATTTTTATATTATTTGGTATATCTTGTACATGAAATACAAAAACAAATATCAGTTAAATTGAAAAGGTATTTATCTGGTTCACACATTTCGCGTTGTATCGACATCTCTCTGTCTCTGCTGCAGTCTTGAGCTTCGTAGTGGAGTAGTTAGTTTATTCATTCGATCGTATTTTGAATCCTGTAATCTGATCAATCTATCTGGGAATCCTTCACTTGGTATTCTGTCTTTTACCTTTCCTTGAATGACAAAATGCAATCGATTGTATAATAGTTGATTATTTTATCAGACGGTTGTAATGGGTCCAGTTTTTTTAGGTCAATAATTATTGTTTGTAGGGTCAACTAATTAATTGTTTTTAGGGTAAAATAATTAACGACCAAACAATTAAATTATTCTGAGCGTGGCGCGATTCGACAGCAGAATGCCATAATATATTATATGGTTATTTCTTATTCCCCAACAGGGAATCTCATAGGCCAGGGAAATAAGCAAAAAACATACCTATGCTTTATTCACAATAATTATAATAAGTATTCCTACTGATAAAGCCTAGCCATCAAGGGTTTTTCGTGTTCAGGTAATAGTAAAAAGGACCGGCTTAACGAATTTTATATATTATTTGGATTTACGTTACATATATAATTTAAATAAATATCTAGGTAATTATGGAAAAAAATACATAAATTGATGGAGTATTAGAATTAATTAATTATTATATTTTTCTGTGTCGATTCTTTATTAAATATATCCAAATTTTGAAAGTAATAAACAATTTTTGTTATGTTAAACAAATTGCAAGTGAAATAATAAAACAGTGAAGTGAAAATTGAAATGATTTAATGTAAGTATATATATGTACATATAGCTGAATATGATTATATTTTATATTTCATGTAAGGTAAGAAGTTTTTCAATTTAAATTCAATTCAGTAATTACTATACTACCTTAAGGTATAAAGTATGTCTGAAAAAGTTGGCAACAAATGGGAACTTTCTTTATTATTAATTTCATGAAAAAAACTATTCTTCATAAAAATTTCTGCATTGCATAGAAATCAATAATCAAATTTATAAAATTTTAAGTGGTATACACCGAAAATAAAAAATATTGATTTATGATTAAAAGTGAAAGTGCTTTTAAATTAAAGTACAGAAAAAAATGTCATTTTAATTTGGTTGTAGG